AAAAAAAGCTTTCTAGGTGATTCAGATCAGCAGCCAGAGTTGAGAGCCACCGGTGCATTGGAAGCACCTCATAAAGTCTAAAGCACCAGGGACATGCAGCTGTTACGAGCACCCAACCAATGTTTTACAGGGAAGAAATCACTCAATAGTCACTAAGGTAAAGAAAAACCACCAAGAAATAAACGGTAACCGCCCCAATGCTGCCCCCTAGTGGTGCCACTGTTTCAGCCGCGGTCCTGTTCCCCTTCCCCTTCCTGCTGCCTATGTTACTACTCCTGTTCCTAGGCAGCCCCCAGCCCCAGGCCCTTTGAGCAACCCTGTCAACCTCAGCATCCTGGTCCTCGTGGAGCGTGGAGAGTCCAGCTCAGGTGTGTGAGAGACAGAAACGCTGATTGATATTGAAACACTGTGAAAACCCAGGGTAGAAAAACAGCCTCAGTGGTGCCACCTGCTGCTTAAGTGAGGGCCCGACTCAGCTTCCAGCCCTGTCCCACTTCCGTTGACGTGGAGCTGCTCGGGTGTTGGTATGCAGTCTCCCCATTCCTGACCCTCCCATGCCAGGGCATCCGAAGACACGAGGCCAGAGCCTCACTGTGCCTGGCCTGAGGTCTGCCAGTGCAGTGGGCCACCCTGACAGCTCCCCAGCAGGGTCCCTCTCTCTGTCCCAGAGCCATTGCCTCAACCCGCCACCAAACAGTTAATATTGCTAACGTGTTTGTGTGGCCCAGCTAGTACCCTTCTGTAGCTTCTTGTTTGTTTGTTTGTTTTAAAGATTTGTTTACGCATACAGAATTGGGGCACAGGCCAGAGGTGTAGAGGTGGTGAGAGGAATCACCAGAGACAGAGCGTGGAGCAGATCAGGCAGATCGACGAAGTACACCGCTGAGGGGAGCAGCGGGCGGGTCAGGAGAAGTCTGCTGCACCATGGGGGTCAGCTCTCACATGGCTGTGGATTGAACTCGTGCTGCAGTGGCTGCAATAGCTTCATAGTGCTACGCTTTAACCCATTGCGCCACCAGGAGGGCCCCTCTCTGGTTTCTTTTAAGAGCTACATCGGCAAGTCACAGCTCCTAGAGAAGCCAGCTAAAGAGATATTCACCAGCTTTGGAGCTTAGGTAAACATTTCAGCTCTTGCAGGCCTGGTTGTGTGACATCAACAGAGTTGCTTGTCCTCTCAGAGTCTCAGTTTCCTCATCTGAAAAAGGAAGTCAGGGGTCTCACAGGTGGGGGGGAGGGTCAAGTGCGGAGATATACTTACAGGCATGTGGCATGTCGTATGTGGCATTCAAAAAACATTAGTTCCTTTTTCTTTCTCTCACATCATCTTTCTTCCCTTTTTCTTTTGGAGAAGGAGGACCTGGGAGGTTGTTTCTTTAAGGCCATTATACAGATGAGGAAACTGAGGCCAGAGAGCAGAAGGGCCTCATCCAAAGGGCACAAAATCAGGTCTTGAAGCCAGGTCTCCTGAGACTCAGTTCACATGTTTTCTGAAGTTCCAACCGCATGCATGGAGTCTTTTCATATTCAGCTCTTCACCGGTGGGCAGCTGATCATGGAGGGTCACTGCCTCCCCTGGGAACACAACATGGGGAAAGTGGCAGTGACTTTGGCTAAGGAGTAGGGACCAATAGCAGGGTAACCCACGGGGAGTGGGTAGGGCAGACCCCAAGTAAACACGTGCCAGTCAAGGTGAAATGAGGGATGTGCCAGGGTGGGAGCAGTGGTAGGAGCAGGTCAGGCCGGGCACCAGGCCCCTGGCCACCAGGGGGTCCCGAGACAGTAAGACACGGTGGACACAGAGAGACAGCATTGTTCTAGAATTGCTCTGCTGTGCTCACTTTGCTCTAACTTACCCAGTGTTCCGTTCAGTGTGCGCCTGAGCAATGGCCAGCTTCCAGGCATATGGAAATATTCAGGCGATATCCCAGCAGCCCCGGTCACCACGTCACCTCGGAGTTAGGAGCCATCACACATGTGCTCTCCAGGAAGGAGGATCCTCGAAGAAGGAGGCTGCCTCGAGGGGTCCCCGGCTCCCCTGCAGCAGTGGCCTGGAGTTCTGTCCTCTGGTAGCCTTGTATTCTTGGGAGTGCAAGTGCTAATAAACCACCTGCTTTAATGACACTCAGCGCACTCTGGTGAGTCCTTTCTCTAGAGGGCAAAGGACTTTGGGGTTGAGGCTTGTAACAAAGAGAGACTGAGAGAAAGTTCACACGTGTGATGCACAGGTGCTGAGCTCCCCATTTCAAACTTCATTTCTTAAAGGGAAAGAAAGCAGCATCATTGGTATTCTTGATTAAAAGGTAAACTGAGACACGTTGAAAAATTTTTTTAAGTTTATCTGACCAAACATCAATTTGAATTGGGCAGTGCCAAACCAAAGGTGGCTAGGAACCCTCCGGCCTATGGGGGGAGGGGGGAGGAGCTTAAAGAGAAGGAGGGAAGCAAAGCAAGGGGATTATTGGACTGGCTGAATCTTAAGCAATTGCCTTAACTGGGAAAGCCCAGTTGGCGGTTTATGACTTCTTAAAGCCCAGTTTTCTCAGATTCCAGTACATCGACCTTGTTTAGTTTTTTTTTTTTTTAAAGATTTATTTTATTTATGCATCCAAGAACTGGGGTATAGGTCAGAGGTGTGGGGTGTGTGTGAGAGAGGATTCACTAGAGACAGAGTGGGGAGCATAGCAGGCAGATCTACTGAAATACACTGCTGAGGGGAGCAGTGGGGAGACAGGAGAGGTCTGCTGTGCCATGTGGGTCAGCTCCCTGGCTGGGGATCCAACTTGCTCTACAGTGGCTGCGGATAGCTTCATAGTGCTGAGACTTACCTCCTTGCGTCACCAGCGAGGCCAACCTTGTTTAGTTTTTGGTTTGTTATTTAAGCTATGGAGGCACCTATGTACCCCCCCCCGCCCCCCACCTTTTGAATGACTCACTCAGACGAGTTTGCTGAACCACAGAGAGTTGAAGTGACCTGCCCCAGACCATACAACTAGCATGGAGGTGGGTGGGACAGTCACCAAGTTCAACAGGATACTACATAGCATCCAGGAAAAGCAGAGAAGCAACAACGGAAGGAAGGGAAGAAGAAATGATGAAAAGGATGGGAAAGCAAACGAAAAGGGAAAAAATGATGATGTTAACTCTTTTTAACGGAATAATTTACACATACAATAATACAGGCAACACACATGAGTTATAAAACATAACTCTTTTGAGTGCACCACCGATCTCAACTATAGCAGAAAATTAGCAATAATCTGCATTTACTGACACCAGGGCCTCTGAGTAGTTTGCACAGAGAAGGCTCCTGCAGAGCTCAGGCATCTGATGCTGCTTTCAGAGAGACTGGAGTTGGTCTGGGCGTCTGGTTTTTGAAAAGCTCGCGCAGTCAGGCTTGAAAGCCACTGGCGGGCCCTCCCTTGTTGCACAGGGTTTAAATCACAGCACTGAGAAGCTAAAGCCACTTCAGCCTGAGTTCCATCCCCGCCACAGAGTTGATCCATATGGCTTGGCAGACCTCTCCTGACCTGCCCGCTGCTCCCCTCAGCAGTGCACTTTGCAAGATCTGCCTGTTCTGCACCCCTCTGTTCTGGTGAATCCTCTCACTTCCCCTGCACCTCTGGCTTGTACCCCAGTTCTGTGTGCATAAATAAACACACATTAAAAAATAAAAAAGAAAGCCACTGGCGTATATCTTCCTCCCCCATCGTGTTGCCCTGATCTCGTTCCCCTGCAGCCCCTGTAATCACCAACCTAAATGCCGTGTAGCGAATAGATTTTCCGCCCCCGCCCCCCACCCTCGGTTCATTTTCCTGACTTCAGGACTAGAACGTTTGCGGTTGGTCTCCCTCCCACCACCAGGGGGCTCCAGAGGAAAACTACACGCTCTTTTTTTCTGGGCAGTGAAGTATCGCGAGCGAGGTGGCTTGATCCTCGCGGCGTCCCGTCGCCGCTTCGTTGTCCGGACAACGAGCGGGGAAACGGCTGGCGTTGCCGCTGCTCTGGCCCGGGAGGCTCGCTGCACAGCTGCCAGGGCTTGGTTGGGGTTTCGGGGAGCCAGGGCCAGGAGACTCTTCGGAAACTCCGGACGCAGAGAAACGTGAGTCGGGAGGTTTGGGCGACTGGGATCGCAGAGGCCGGCCGCCGTGGGCCCCGCGAAGGCGGGAACCGCGGACGCCGGCGCCCAGGGGCGGAGGGCGTCTTCTCTCTGCCTCCCCACCGCCCCGCCTGGGTCTGACACTTCCCTCTGTAACCCCTTCACCGTAGGTGGGTGGCGGAGGGTGCTGCCTGTCCAGGGAACAGCTCCACTTGTCCGATACCGGAATCTTAAATTACTTTACACCTGGTGCACAACTTTATCCATGGTTGGCCTTATCGGACAAGGGGACAGGTACGGAACACCTGCCTCCAGACAGAGGTCATAAACAGGCAGCCGCTGGGCGAACAGTTCCCCCGGCACCGGAGCAGTCAGAGTCAGGTTCTTGGTGTGGACCCAGACGGCACTGTCGAGCCCCCCTCATGGGTCAGCCTTTGGGTGGCGGGTGGAGGTGTGCGGAAGCCTCCGGCTCTCCGCTGTCAGATCTTCAGTTGTGTCCGCAGGTTGCTCTGTGACCCGATGTCGAGTCCTTTCACGGGGTCCCAGTTTCTCCTTCTGTAAGATGGGACCTGCCCTCTATGCTCATCCAGAACTGAGGGACCCTGAGCGAGGCTCCTTCCGCCGGCTGCCTGCCACTATCTGCGCATGGTGGTCCCACAAGGCAGCCTCTTGCAGCTGCAGAACCTGGAGCCTCGTCTGGGACTAGCATGGATTAGGATCCCAGCTCTTTTATTTCTTCTATTTCTTGGTTTTGTGGTCTTGGGCAAGTTACATGATCTCTTTGAAGTTACCTTATCTTCAACTGCCATATAATGGGGTAATTGTCAAAACAAAAAGGTCATATGTCAAGAATACTCTAAATCACCATTCCTCTTACTTTATTCAGAATATAAAAGTCCCCAGGATGCTTGGTCCTGTGCCCTTGTGTTGTCTGGATCAGGTCAGCTGGATTTGCAGTCCAAATGGCAAGTCATTAAAAAAAATACTGATGCTTGGGGGCCTCCCTGGTGGTATAAGGGGTTAAGTCTCAGCACTATAAAGCTATCAGCAGCCACTGCAGCAAGAGTTCCACCACTGCCAGAGGGCTAACACAGCAGACCTCTCCTGTCTCCCGCTGCTCCCCTCAGCAGTGTATTTTAGTGGATCCTCCTGGTCTGCTCCTGACTCTGTCTCTGGTGAATTCTTTCACCCCTGCCCCCCCATACCTCTGGCCTATACCCCGGCTCTTGTACACATAAATAAATAAATCTTTTAAAACAGTGCTGATGTTTGGAGGCCTAAACAGACACTTTAAATGAAATTGTCTGCAGGGGAGCCCCGAGTACTATCCAGAGATTCCAGTGAGCACCCAAGGGGTGAGACCACTCGCCATACAAATGAGGCCAAGCTTGTGAGGGCTCCTGGGCTCTGCACCTTGGTTATTTTCCACCACTGCTTTCTCAGATGGCGCTCCCCACACTGCCTTCCTACTGGTGCACACGGAGGCTCCTGGATCAGCAGATAGCACGACAGCGACAGCGAGAGCAGGAGGCCCGGCTTCGGCAGCAATGGGATCAGAACAGCCACTACTTCCGGATGTCTGACATCCGTACCTCCAAACAGGCAGAATGGAGCTCCAAGACCTCCTACCAGCGGAGGTAACTGGGGTGACCTTGATGATGGGGTACACATTCTGTGTGACTTAAGGGCATGTTTTCTTGAGGAATTTGCTGGAAGTTATGGATTACCTGCTTGGTGTTTTTCCAGCTAGACATTGAAAAAACATAAAAGATTAGTGAAGACAAACTTTTGCACTGAAAAAAATAAAAGTGTATGTAGATTCTGAAAGTCTCATAATTTCCAGGGAGAACCACAAATAACAGCCTGATGCATAGCTTCCTGTACTGCTGCCTGCTGGTGCACAATACACTTACAAAACCACTTTCATAGAAACACTTGAAAGAACATGGAAGGAAAAGCGTAAACTCTGGAGTCAGACAGTGGAAAATCCTGACTATGTCACTTGCTTTAGGAATGAGCCTCAGTTTCCTCATTAGTAAAGTGAGGTTGCAACAGAACTTACTCTGTAGGATTTACGTGATATTAATATAACAGCTGGTACATGGTAACTGCCCTGTAATAGCTATTACATGCATATCACATGCATGTGTAAGTCTGTTTTACATTTTCTTATTGCAAAAACAAGATTCTACTATACATACCATTCTGTGACCTGTGCTCTTCGCTTCAGCTGGAGGACACCTTCATGAGTCACAAGGTGATGTCCGTGTCAGTCTTTTTCACTCACATAGCAGAATGGAGCATTCTGCACGAGGCTGTAGCAAGACTGACTTGTGTGGGCTCCTTCTCACCCAGCATGCATGCCTATCAGCAAGAGAAGCTGAAGGATGAGAAGAGGAGGTGTCTGGAGGCCAGACGGGAGAGACTGAGGCAGCTCCTGGTGGAGGAGCAGGACCTGCTGGCCAAAGAGCTGGAGGAGCTGAGGCTGAGCATGAACTTGCGGGAGAGAAGAATCCGAGAGTGCCATGGGAATCTGAAGTCAGCTCGAGAAGAGCAAAGGAAACGGGTAATTTTTCATTGACCTTTAAGAAGCTGTAGAGCAGGACCATACCCTGCCAGTCAATGAGGTGCACATGGGTTACCCCTTCATGCACTGGTCTGGTTAGAGGGCTGCTAACTCTACAGCAGCCGGGGAGAGTGGCTCCTCAGTTCTTCACCTGTGACTTGCACATGTTAACTCTCTGCTCATAGCCTGCCCCTAATAATGCCACCTGAGTCCTTTTTCTTTATTCCAGTTCTGTGGTCTCAGAAAAGTCTGGGCCTGGGAGATTTTATCTTCCATGGTGGGATGGACAACCCCAGTCTGTCTGTCTGTCTGTCTGTCTTTCTGAATGTATGTATTCATGCATGCATGCATACAGAACTGGGGTGCAGGCCAGGATGCAGGGGCAGTGAAAGGATTCACCAGAGACAGTGGGGAGCAGAACAGGCAGATCGATGAAGTACACAGCTGAGGGGAGCAGCGGGCAGCTCAGGTGAGGTCTGCTGTGCCATGTGGTCACCTCCAGGGCCAGGCATCAAATTCACACCCCTTCCTAACCCCTTGCACCACCAGGGAGGGCTCCCAGTCTGTTTTTTTTTTTTTTTTTAAAGATTTATTTATTTATTTGTACATACAGAACTGGGGTACAGGCCAGAGGTGCAGGGGCGGCGAGAAACTTCACCAGAGACAGAGTGGGGAGCAGAACAGGCAGATCGATGAAATACACTGCTGAGGGGAGCAGCGGGCGGGTCAGGAGAGGTCTGCCTCGCCATGTGGTCACCTCCGGGACAGGCGGGAATCGAACTCATGCGGAAGTGGTTTCAGCTTCTTAGTGCAGTGCTTTAACCCGCTGCGCCACCAGAGAGGGCCCTCCCAGTCTGTTTTTAAGCTTGCTAAGTCTTTAGAAACAGATCTGTACTATCTGGGACTCGTATGTAGCTTCAGATTTTGGCTTTTGTCACCATTGTGAGAGTCGTTTGTCAGGGCTTTCCTGTTCCGTGTGGGTGTCTGGCTTCCAGAGCTGTGGGTGCCAGGCAGGCAGGGGAAGGGCCGTACTAGTGGAGCAGCTGGCTTGTTGTGAGTTTCTACAGTGTGAATGCACTTGAAAAGAGACATCACACTTCTGTGTGTTTTGTTGCCAGATTGCTGAACAGCTATTGTATGAGCACTGGAAGAAGAATAACCCCAAACTTCGAGAGGTAAAAACCCAGGGATCCTGCCACCAGTGTGTGTAAATAGATGAAATTGTGTTTTGGGCTTGTTTTTAAACTGGCATCTTGTGCTGGGGCTCAAGGAGGGAACACTAGCTCCCAAAAGAGCAGCATATAGGAGCTCCACTCGTTGGGCAGTTTAGCCGCTATTTCCAGAACATCTACTGCATGGGCATGCGCATGGAGGTTAGACCTGGCCCCTGCCCCGAAGGGAGAAGAGCTCGGTTCCAACTCTTGAAATTGGCTTGGCACTGTGTGTCCTTTTCTGATGGGCTTGCCTTCAGACTATGAGTCCTCACAGAGGGAGGTCATGGTCATATTTCAGTGTGTGACACTGCCCTGCTCTGCGTATCAGCCAGGGGAACTAATGAGGAAATTAATACTCTCCCTTCTCATCCTAGATTGAATCGGACCTTCACAAGAAGCATGTGATAAACTCTTGGGAAACGCAGAAAGAGGAGAAAAAACAGGTATGGTGTGAGACTCTGGGAAGAGTCCTGTGTTGCGGTGGAAGACTGTCTCCATGTCTTTGGATTTGTTTTTAGTGTCAATGACCCCAATCCAGGAGCAGACTCTTAGTTTGCTCAACACATGTTAAAACTGAATGTTGCTCTTAAACGTGCTAGAAGCCTGGTGACGGTTCCCGTGACCAGGGCTGGTTGGTGGTAGGCAGGAGGCTTGGGGTGTTTTTGGTGTCGTTTGCATCGTAAACTCTCAGCCTTGGCTTGCAGCAGCTCCTCCTGGATAAAAGCCCACACTTCCTGGGGTCTGTCTTTTTGCCTCCAGTTTCATTTTGCAAAACACTGTTGACTTACAGAAGGAGAAGGAATCCCATCATTCTCCCACCTCTCCTCTGTGTCCCGGCCTTTGTGAGGACTCCCCAGCTCTGTAGCTGAGGGAAACAGCCCTTCCAGAGCGCAGGGTCCTGTGGCAGATGAGCGGCCTGGCCCCTCCGGTGGACCTGCAGAGGAGTGAGGCCCTGGGCCCTGCGGCCCGCTGACAGCGCTGGGAACTGGCTGGTTTCATGTTGTAGATTCCGACCTCTTGGTTCATTTGGCCCCTTGTAGCAAGAAGCCACAAAGGAGAAAGAGAACAAGCGATTTGAAAATGAGTATGAAAGAGCCCGGAGGGAAGCGCTGGAGCGGATAAAGGCAGAAGAGGAGCGGCGGCGCCTGGAGGATAAACGCCAGGCCGCGGTGCTGCGCCAGCAGATGGAGGAGCTGAAGGCGAAGGAGCTGGAGGTGAGGGAAGGCCCCTGCCGCTGAGGCACCTCCTGATGCCACTTGTTTCTGGAAAGTGGATATTTAAAGCTGTTCTAAAGCAGTCCCAGAGGGAGAGGTGATTCCAGGAAACACACCCATGTGGGTTTCCCTTCTGCCACGGGCGCTCTTCCGTGGCTGCATGCTCCTGATTCCTGGAACGTTAAGAATATGCACCTAGTACCTCTTCTCTTAGATGTCTTTTAAGGCCTGCTGGGTCAGAGCCCCCTGAGAAACCTGGACTTTCCGTGCACTGAGTGAACTTGGCAGGTTCCAATGTTTTGGCACATAGCATCCCCTGCTAGTGGGCTTGAGTTTCAGGACAAACTGTGAGGGCCCTTGCTCTAGGAGGCCGTTTTGAGACTACTGTGCAGTGTCCTTGAGGGGGCTGGATCTTCCCATTCAGGTGAGGGGAGCCCTCAGGGGACTGAGGGGACTCCCCTGCAGTCCTGCACCTCACAATGGGAGCAGTGTCAGGCAGGGGAAATGTATGCTAAGTTACAATAAAGCATGGACAAGCTCAGGGTTCTGATGAACAGGGAGCAATGCCCCATCCTTACCTGCAGATGTAGGAAGGGGCCCAGGAGGAGCTGGCTCTGTCGAGGTGGGGTACAAGAGTGAGTAAGCTGGGCCAAAGGCTCAAGTGTCCCTGAGGTGGGAGGGGATCGTGACCTCCAGGCCAGGGCACCCGGTTGCAATGTCTGTTGGAAGAGGAATACAGGAAGCTCTGAGTTTCTTGATCTTAACTGGGTTACTGTCGTAACCACAGGCCACCAAACTGAAGAAGGAGCAGGAGAATCTGTTGAAGCAGCAATGGGAGCTGGAGAGACTGGAGGAAGAGAGGAAACAGATGGCAGCCTTACGGCAGAAGGCAGAGCTGGGGTACGTGTAAGCAGGACCGCCCTCACCTGCCCTTCCCAGGGGCTGGACCTCTTACTTCTCAGACTCCAGGAGACAACAGGTGCATTCTGCAGCTGCTCCTCAAAAAAGAGGATGAGACCCGGCCCTACCTGGTGGCGCAGCGGGTTAAAGCGCAGCACTGAGAATCTGAAGCCACTTCCGCATGAGTTCGATTCCCGCCTGCCGCCTGCCCCGGAGGAGACCACATGGCGAGCCAGACCTCTCCTGGCCCGCCCGCTGCTTCCCTCAGCAGTGTACTTTGTCAATCTGCCTGTTCTGCTCCCCACTCTGTCTCTGGTGAAGCCTCTCACCGCCCCTGAGCCTCTGGCCTGTACCCCAGTTCTGTATGAATAAATAAATAAATCTTTAAAAAAAAAAGAGGATGAGACCCAGCATGCGTCCCTTAGGCCAGGGAGGGACACCCTAAACAGCTGTCTTACCTGTGTTTGATATCTTATAAGACACTGAAGGTGACCGTGTTTTGCTCATTTGTAGACGCTTTTTGAGACATCAGTATAATGTGCAGCTCAACAGACGGACCCAGCAGATCCAGGAGGAGCTGGTAAGTCTCCAGAGATGGCCTGGCATTTCTTTGAGAAAATGTTTTCCATCACTCAATGGTGAAAGCTCACCTGTGAGCGGAAAGACACAATGAGAGTCCTGTGCCCGCCTGCCCTGCCCAGAGCTGACTGCTGTGTTGCATGTCCTCCTGGACTTTACTTCGTGCATAGGGAAGTGTTTTCTTTCATAATGTACTGAAGTGGCTTCTTTAGCGTATTTATTTAATGGTAAATCTTAGACTCCAGCATCATATACTTGGATTGAGCTTTCTGTTTGTTTGCAGCTCCATATTCCTGCCAAATATTTTGATGTGCCCTCCTGTTGAGACCAGGAGAAAGGGGGCATGACCCTCACTTCCCACCCTCGCTGCTGCCGTCAGGGCAGCCTACTGCTTCTCCCACATGCAGGATCCCCTGGGCACACCTGCCTCTCGGCCACCCGAGCTCCCGTGGCACTGCCCCATGTAGGTGTGCAGCACACCGGGCACGCTCCTCTGAGTATGCACTGCCTTCCTGATTCCCTCTGACAGCAGCTGCAAGCGCACCTCTACAGTCCGTGCGCCTAGAAGCGGAAGTATTCCCAGTTGTGTTCTAAAAAACGGTGCTGCCAGTTGGGCCCAAGGGTGGGGACTTGCAGTGGTGGCAGAAGAGCCCTGGGGTCTCTTCAGTATCTAACCCAATCCCATTCTGGAAACAAGCCGCTGTCTTTGTGTCTACGTGGAGCGCAGTTGGAAGCATCATGAATGTCGGCTTTCAGTGCTCAGCGCGAAGGGAGAGGGGCTGGTAGGGGCTGGAGGCTGTGGCCTCAGAAGGGTGCCCCACGCATCCACTGTGCCTCTTCCCCCCTCCTCCAGGAGGCGGACAAGCGCATCCTGCAGGCGCTTCTGGAGAAGGAGGATGAGAACCAGCGCGCACACTTGGCCAGGCGGGAGCAGGCGCTGGCTGACGTGGCGTGGATGAAGCAGGTCATCGAGGAGCAGCTGCAGCTGGAGAGGGAGCGGGAGGCGGAGCTGCAGCTGCTGCTGAGGTGAGGGGCAGTGTGAGGGCCGTGGCGCCTGGCCTCTGCCTGGTACCAGGTCACCTGTTGGACGTGAAACACTTGTCTTGTTGATGAGACCATTGCCCTGAGGAGCACACTAGGGCTTATGCAAAGGATTAAATCTTAGAAATGTAAGATAAAATCTTAGAAACGTTAAGGGGAGGGTGATATAAATTACGGAGATGCTGATGTTTTGTAGGGCTATAGATGGTTTTGGATCCTGAGATTTAATCTAGTATTGGACTTAAGATTTAATTGGACTAGCTGAATAGCAGTTACCATGAATCGAGCACATCCTGTGTGCCCGGTTCTGTGCTGTGTGCTTCACCAGCCTCACCTGGCGCAGGCTTGACATTGGCCAAGCGGTAGGTACTTGGGACAGGTATTCAAGCAGGTCACCCTCTTGTCCCAGGCCAGCGAGAGCGACCCAGGAGGTCGGGACAGCCTGGCATCAGCCGTGCCCCTCAGTGCCCCCGGGTCCTAATGGCTACACCTATGTGGAAGCAGCCTGGGTGTGAGGCGACACACAAGGACTAGAAAAGCGATACCTTGCCACGCTTCCTGGAATAACACTTTCTGGGAATGTTGTCCTAATTGTCACCTGTTAAAAGTTAAATTCATGTAAAGGGAGCCCCACAGAACGTGTTTGCTGTTGAGCCCTGTGGTTCCTCACTTCTGTCATCTGTGCTAAGGAGTCAGTTTTTGTTTCCCTAGGGAGGAGGCCAAGGAAATGTGGGAAAAGAGAGAGGCCGAGTGGGCGCGTGAGAGGAGTGCGCGAGACAAGCTGATGAGCGAGGTAACCCCGGAGGCCAGCCAGTGGGCGGGCGGGCGGCGAGGGCCAGCGGCCAGGCAGGTTCTGGGAGTTCCTGCCTCACCTTCTGGCCCACGCCCTGGAGTCAGAGCTCTCTCTGGTTTCTTTAATGGGCAATATCATCATGAAAGAAAGGCAGGCTCCCTGGAGAACAGAATTGCCGGGACCCTCCTCGCCGCCTTGCTGTTTCCCTCTGCTTTCCTGCCACTGTCAATCACGTTTCCCCACATACTTGTCATATTATGCTGTTTGGCTTAAATATTTTGATGACTGCATGATACATCACCACCCATATATCCTGTTTGGCTTTTCTAGTTTTCAACCGTCCTGGTATGAGGCTCTTCATGGTCGCGTTTCTTTCTTGTACATTAGGAGAAACAGACTAAAGGACACAACTGTCTTACTTGTCAGTATGTTAGTGATGCATGTAGGACACACCCAGCTCACAGTCTTTTGGAGGAAAAAGTCTTCATTACCCATGCATTGAAGTCTACTTCAGGGTAGCTTAAAGTGGAAGCAATATTTTGTACACGTCAGCACCTACATTTTGGGATCCATAGGAAACTGGGTCTCACCTGGTGGGTTTTCACTTTTGTTTTGATTTCCCCCACTTCAAATGTGCCTCCTACTGTGGCCACGTCACATGGTCCCCAGGGAGCGCAGTGTGGGGGCGGCAGAGGCTCCCGGCCACGGGCTCCCAAGCCCCACAGTGGTTTGGGCTGGCAGTGGGATGTCATCCTGCTCCGTGCTACTCTGAGCCTCAGAGGTGAACCCCCAAAGGTTAGGGAATGAGCCCAGCTCTGCCACTGGTCACTGCATGGGATATGGTTTCTTCCTTTTCTCTGGAGCCCACTGACAGGGCTGCTGCCCTTTGTGTTTCTGTGCCTGGCGAGGGAGCGCCATTCTCTCCTCCTCTGTCTCTGTGTGCTCAGCTGTCCCCACAATGCACAACCTGCCTGCATTTTGTGTGTGTATGTGGCTGAAATTGTCTGCATAATCCCCTCAGCTGGATCTATGTTTGCCGTAGTCAAGCTTGAGGCCAAAGCTGGTCTCAGTGTACCTGTAGCTGCAGCCAGTCTGTTAGTCAGACTGATCCTTCCCTTTTCCTTTCCGCTGAGGATAGGTTCTGATAGGAAGACAGCAACAAATACAAGAAAAGATTGAACAAAATCGACAGGCGCAAGAAGAATCCTTAAGACACAGGGAAGAACTTATTCGAAATCTTGAGGAGGCAAGAGATTCAGCTCGTCGTGAGAAAGAGAAGGGTGAAGAACTGAAGTCTGCCAGGAAGCAGGAGCTGGAGGCCCAGGTGGGGCTGAGCCTGGGGCAGGAGGGCCTCGGGGTGAGGGGTGTGGGGTGAAGGGTGGAGGGCCCCGCTGTGGTTCTGCATCGCCGCAGCACGCAGCATGCAGTTCAGATGCAGCGTGGGCCAGCACTGTCCAAGCCCACATTTGAGAGCTCTCAGGGTCCCATTTTATTTCCAGTGGAGGCCCTTACCCTCTGGCTGTAGGTTCAGGCCCATGCCCAGGCCTCCTCTCACATGGGAGCAAAGCTGTCATTCACGGCCCATCTCTTTTTCTTACCTGCACCTACATTTATTTAGCTCACTCTATTCCGTTTCCTACCTCAAATAGAACACAGTAGTCTTCCAAACACAGGACAGGCATCCAGGGCTTTATATATGGCACACACTGCCATCCACGTAGCCTTCCTCCCACTGTCACTATTTTTTTTTTAAGGTTTATTTATGCATACAGAACTAGGGTACGGGCCAGAGATGCAAGGGCAGTGAGAGGATTCCCCAGAGACAGAGTGGGGAGCAGAACAGGTGGATCAATGAAGTATACTGCTGCGGGGAGTAGCAGGAGCGACAGGAGAGGTCTGCCCTGTGGGTCACCTCCGGGGCCAGAATTGAACTTGCACTGAAGCGGCTGTGGCCAGCCCGCAGTGCTGCACTTTAACCCACCGCGCCACCAGGGAGGGCCCCGCTGTCACTCTTTTCTCTGATTCTCCACTCAGGTACACCTACAGGTCTTCCCTGCTGGTCAGAGGCAGGTCTCTGTGTTGGGGGGCTTTGTCCTGAAGCGACTTTGCTCTCCATTCTCGATGCCTAGGTGGCAGAGCGCCAGCTGCAGGCCTGGGAAGCAGACCGGCAGGAGGAGCAGGAGGAAGAGGAGGCGAGGCAGGCAGAACAGCTCACCGACACCCTGCTGCAGCGGGAAGCAAAGATGATGGCTGAGCGGGGCTACCAGCCCAAGGTAAGGGGGCCTTCCAGGTGACAGGCCGCTCACCGTGCCTCCTGCCCACCCAGGCCTGTTTGTGGCCCAGGGCTCAGCTGGGCTTCAGGCCAGCTCAGGTTCTTCCTTGCTGCTCTTCTTTTGTATTTCTCTCTCCCCTGACTAGTAGTGAACCTAACAGTGCTTCTCTGGGCTCCAAACAACCCCTGAGGTGATTTTGCTCCAGCTTCTGTCGCGGCAGCACGAGGACAGAGGTCCTAGCAGCTGTGGCCCTGTTGGGGGCGCAGCTGTGAGAGGTGGAGGGGCAGTGGCGCTGCATCCTCGGGGTCCAGACAGCGAAGCCAGACCAAAGGGGCTGGTGCCCATCTGCTCCTCTCGGCACCTGTGGGTGCCCTTGCTGTTGCCTCACCTGCCCTGTCAGCGTCCTAACCAGGTAGGGTGCTTGGGTGCAGGGAGCAGCATTCTCCAAACTCACTTGACTGTGGGTCAGTGCGCAAGTCAGAGTGATGTGAAACCTCACTTAGCACCTGGAAAACAGTCATACAGGGCCTCGCCACAGGGCCTCGTTTACAGCTTGTTGAGCTGTAAATGCCGGCCATTTACGCTGTGCCTTCAGCCCTTCTGCAGAATGAGCTGATTCCCGGTGATCCGGACACTGTGGGTCTGATGTTTTCTTTCTTTTCTCAGCCACATGGACATCCCAAAATTGCTTGGAACTGACTTCCATGGTACCGTGAGTGCAGCGAGCAAGGGTCCAAGGCCTTCATCGTGCAGCTGCCCGAGAGTTTTCCAGTGTGCTGTCCAGCTGCTCAGGTCGCCGTGAAGTCGCTCAGCAAGGCCCATGACTACATGGGTCAAGAGTGTCGGTGTCAGGCCAACGGCGTGCCTCCCAGTGGGGGCCCTTCCCTACCTTTCTTTCCCAAGAGAGGTGCTTGGCTAGGCACGTGTTTGACAGAGTTGGCCCTACTTGTGCTGTGTTGGAAGTAGGGTAAGACGGACTCAGCCACTGTCCTGGCCAGGACATGGGGTTCCCTGATCTCCGGCCCCTGACCGCCAACCTCCAGTGAAGACTCCAGTGGGGAGATGAGGAGATGACAGGAGGCTTTTAATTTTTTTAATTGCCATTTAAATGTATTCTTTTGAAGACAAATTTGTAGACCTTGCTGCACTTTATTTCAGGTTTTATTAACCTAGTGGTCTCACCAGGGCCACATCTTGCTTTCTGGATGAAACGCCTACAGACCCTGAGACAGGATGACGTGGCCTGTGGGTTCTTTCCAGAAAGGAAGTGACATGAGCCTTTGAGTTTTCATAGAGCATTGTGGTGGGAGGAGTGATCCCCAACAAGTCTGTTCCTGAGCCTCCAAAGGGGACCTTCGGCACACTGCTCTGCAGGCTCTGCGTGCCTCACATCTGGGAAGGGCTGAGCTTCATGTTGCCTTCTGGGACCTGTGTGCCCAGGGAAGGGGTGTCGGGCCTGAGGAAGTGAGAGCAGCGCAGCCCCACCAACATGCTCTCCAGGCCTGGGCTAATCTCTGCAAAGAGCTGCAAGGTCCTTGAGCAAGAATCTTATTTTTATGACTTCTGTTTTTCTCCTTTTCCTGTGAGGTATCAGTTTTCATTATATTGTGTTCAAGAGTCCACATGTCTGTAAATCACAGCTAATTACAGGGCTCTGTGCTGTGCTTATTAAAAACTAGAGTTTACTAGCAAATCCCAAGTCTGCGAGCTGCATTCCCTTTTACTCCCATGGTGGTGGAAAACAAATTGAGCTGCAACCTGCATCCTTAATCTGTTTTTCATTTCCTTGCTTTGAATCTCTTTGGCTCGATCCCCTGAGCACCACTGTCATCACACATGCTCATATTTATTTTCCTTGTTTCATATGTTCATTAATGATGAAATAAAGTTCTGGTTTGACAGTATTGCTTCCAGGCCTTTTTTTTTTGTCACTGTTTCTTTTATTAATTGTTGCAAAGTGGATAGTGTAAAATGTTAAAGTTAAGCTAAAATGTTAAAGTTAAGCTATAGTGTAAAGTTAAGCTATTTCCTATGACTGGTCACATTTTTTTTTTTTAACATTTATTTAACATTCACCAGAGACAGAGTGGGGAGCAGATTGACTGAAATACACTGCTGAGGGGAGCAGAGGGCGAGGCAGGAGAGGTCTGCTGTGCCATGTGAGTGGGTCACCTCCCTGGCCGGAGATCAAACTCGGTGCTGCAGTGGCTGTGGTAGCTTTATAGTTCTGAGACTTAACCCCTTGGGCCAGACTGGTCACATTTTCTGAGTTTATTCGTTTTCCTCGAATGATGATGTTTCCACTGGAGCTTCTTAGTAAACCTCAGATTAGCAATCAAATACTGTCTAAGTTCCAGCATAGAACTGAAAATGACAGAACGACTGGTACTAGGCACTCAAATATTTACTAATTTTTAATTACCAATTATTTTCCTTGTTAGCATTAAAAATTAAGTTGGGAGCCCTTCCTTGGTAGTGCAGCAGGTTAAAGCACAGCAGCACAGCACTAAGAAGCTAAAGCCACTTTAGCATGAGTTCGATCCCCACCCCAGAGGTGACCCACATGGCGCGGCAGACCTCTCCTGACCCGCCCGCTGCTCCTCTCTGCAGTGTACTTCGTACATCTGCCTGTTCTGCTCCCCACTCTGTCTCTGGTGAATCCTCTCACCGCCCCGCACTTCTGGCCTGTACTCCAGTTCTGTATGAATAAATAAGTCTTTAAAAAAAATTATGTTGTTTGGGACCTTCCTGGTGGCACAACAGCTTAGGATGCAGCACTATAAGCTGGCCGCAGTCACTTCAGTGTGAGTTCGATCCCCAGCCCCAAAGGTGACCCACATGGCAGCAGACCTCTCCTAACCTACCCACTGCTCCCTCAGCAGTGTACTTTGTTGATCTGCCTGTTCTGCTCCCCACTCTGACTGGCGAATCCTCTCACTGCCCCTGTACCTCTGGCTTGTATCCCAGTCTATATGCACAAATAAATATTTTTAAAAAATTATGTTGGTTGTCTTCCCTGGTACATTTAAAAGTTTCCTTTTTAAACTGGGCCACAGTATTAGCTGTAGGGCATCTGCATACTTTAGTAATTAAAAAACACAAAGATTCCTGGTTGGAGCCTGGTGTCTCAGACCCTAGGAGGAGAAGGTGCTTCCACCCACCAGGCCCCTCTCTCCCTCTGCGCAGTGTCATCCTCATGTCCCCAAGAGAGGTCTCGAAAGAGGCAGATGTCAAGACTTCACACACCAGTGCTCAAAGATTGGGACACGGAGTGACGTGTGTTGAAGTCTCACCAAATCTGCCCCTCACAGCCTAAATTTCTGGAAAGCTGAGGACTGAAGGATGAGCTGCAGAGGTCCACCTTCCTGCCTCATCATCTAGCCCTTCCCAAACCCACTCTATTTTGAACTTTTTCAGGCCACTTCAATGAAATCTCTGCCTTCTCTGTGAGACTTACCAAGTTCTCTCCCCTCCAGCCTGGGGCCTGTTAAGAAACAACAGAGCCCACCTGTAGATCTGAAGGAACAGGGCCTCCTGCTGACTCATCGTGTAAACTGTCCAGGGAGCAGCAGGACTGGGGGTGCGACACGTAGCGGATGGCCAGACGTGGACGGCAACTCTCCTTGACGCTAGCAAGTCCGATGGCTTGTGTGGAACAGCTCCAGTACATCTGCAGATTTGGAGGAGAGAGGTGAATGTCATGTTAAATAGTGGGGTTCACCCCAACAACAGATGAAACGAAATGGGAAAATACTTGGTAAGTCTCACAGAGAAGGCAGAGATTTCATTGAAGTGGCCTGGAAAAGTTCAAAATAGAGGGGTTGGGAAGGGCTAGATGATGAGGCAGGAAGGTGGACCTCTGCAGCTCATTGTTCAGTCCTCAGGCTTTCCAGAAATTTCCATATATTCAGATAAAGTAGAGCAGTAACTCTGTACAGACTACTGGTGTGAACATGAGCCTCGTAGTCACCTGACAGCAGTGTCTCCAGCACAGAAGAAATGAAGAGGAGGGAGGTGAGGGAGTAAAGCAAGAAGGCAAAAGCTTGCCAGTAATTAGGGAAGGGAAGCCCCAAACTGATTTTCATCACATTGCAAAATAAAAATAGGCTTTGCTATTTACTTCCGAATGGCTACTAATGGTCTGATTAATAAAATGGGCAGTTTTTCTTTTCTCATCTGTTTTATGAAACTCAAGTTATAGCAAACAAAACTTTTTTCCTTTAAATTTGTTATGTCTATTAACCAAATGCCTCTTTTCCTCAGTGGATAAGGTGTATAATTGCATAAGTATCATTTAAGGAAAAGGACCTAAAACTTTCAATAAAACTAATGACCAGGTCACTGAATTGCCGATGGTGGAGGTTATTGGTGCTCTGGGGTGGGCGTGGCCTGGTAACAGGCACCTGAAAGAATGTGAGCCTCTAGCCCTGTAACATGAGCATGTTGTCAACTGGCGTTCCCTCAATAAAAGATGCATATAAATTTAGAAGTTACTGAAAAGTAAGAAAGGGAACGGAAATATCTGAAAATACACAGAGCATCGGTTTTGATAAATCATTAGGAAGGAATGTCACTGAAATACAGAGGACTGGTGAGTAAGGCTTGTCATCTAGAAGTGTGACAGATTAAGGGCCAGAAAGTTGATCACCTGTTTCTCTATGAAGGAACAAATAGCCTTCACGGTTGCTAGCAAGGTCTCCTCGCCTCTGGGGGAGCCCTGAGCTACATTGGCATATTGTTGCAGGTATTCTCAAGACCCCAGGCTTCAAAACCATTCTTCCCTGCAGTGAAGGTCTGGGTGGCAGGAGGAGGGGAGGCTGAATTGAGGATTCATAGGTAAATTGCCTATGGTGGAACATAGGTAAATTGCCCAAGGCAGGAAGGAAGTGAGGACTGCTCCCCCCGAGCTCTTGCCAGGGGCAGGAAGTGCCTTCTGACACTTCTGGGGTGTGCTTTTGACATCTGAAGGACCACATGGATGCCTGTTCCCCGCAGATGAAGAGTCAAAAACTGGGTCCTTATTGGAGTTAAGAAGTGAATAGGGGACACCAAGAGGGGCGTCTCTTCTGACTGGGGTATGGCTGTGTCTTGAGGGTGTCTGGCTCGGGACTGAGGAATGCCTCCGAGAGCGCCCAGCATATGGAAACTCCCTTGCTTCCTCTGTGCGTTGGACAGAGTGTCTGAGGCACTGTGAGTCTTCAGTCTTTGAAGTGCTGTGCCACCCATCACAGTAGTAACAATCAGCCTCGTCCTCAGGCTGGAGCCCAGAGACCAGCAGAAGTCTTGCATTGCTTGATGCCTCATTGGAACCAGAAAATCTGGGGACCTCGGGGCCCTGGTCTTATTTGAATCTGTAGTACAGGAGACTCCGGGAGGACCCAGAGCTTCTGCTGCTACCGATGTAGCACAGAGTCACCAACTTTGAGGTCCAGGGTGCAGGGGAGTCTCACTTGTTCCTGGAGGTGCCAAGTTCTCCCTGGAGATGCATCCAGGAGGAGGGAGGCTGAGTCCCCATGGTCTGGGGGAGGGAGCCCACGAATATAGAGAGACGTGAGTGTCAGAGCAGAGGCAGGGTTGAGCTGCTTGAGATTCTGAACCAGGCTGACAGGCTGACACAGGCTGTGGGGTACCTCAGGACTGAGGCCTGCCCTACCTGTGCAGTGAGAGTAGGGCAGGAGCATAGGAACCCAGGTCCTGTTGTGCTAGGTCTCATGAGACCCTGAGCTGGAGTTTGGGGTGGGGGATCATGTCCTTTGGTGGTTCCAGAAGAGGTTGTTGATGTAAATTTGTTTCCTGTGCTGGAGATCTCTGGTCTGCCTGAGGCCCGGCGGAGGCCTGCACTTGATTTAGACAATGGAGGATGATGGGGAAGATTCAGAATTTGTCCCATGAGACTGAAGCAGTTGCCAGGACACTGACGTCCAGAGAGGACACAGCTGCCCAGACCCCTCAGCAACACTCCAGCTCTGAACACATTAGTCTATTGAGTGCGTGCACCGTGCAGCAAACCCTGGAAAAGAGCGCCCCCTGCTGCTCTCCTGTCAAATTTCAGCTTCTCAGTAGCAATGTCAGCGCCCTTGTGTGACAGCCTGAGACACTCGCTAGCACCCCGACATAAATGATGTTAGTAAACAGCATTCTCCAAGGAAGTCTTCTAGATTTTTAGGTGAAATAGATGGGAAAATGTGATCAGTGTACATTGTGACCAAGGCTGATGCAAGGTAAAGTTCCTCGGGACGCTGAGTGCTCTGCCGTAAACAGGATTCCTGCAGCAGGGGTCAGGAACCCGGCTGCTGCTGATGTGGGTCCGAAAGGAGCGTGTGGTGGAAAACAAATAATATTTCTAGAAAAGGTACAGAGCTCTCAAAAGATGTAGCAGAGTGTTCAGTGTTCAAATATCCAGAGACATCAACATGTGCAGGGAGTTGGGGAAATGACAAAACTCCTGTTTCTGGGTCTCACATTTCTTGGAAATTTCTCTTGATAGGTCACATGTTTCTCTGTTGCTGCTTCGCCAGACACCCCCTGACCAGACACCCTCTGTCCAGACACCCTCGCATCCCATCACCATGGCCGGATAAGTCAGCACAGGGGCTATTTCCCATCATATTTAGAAGGTGCTTTCATCCATTCTGGAAGGATTAATGGAAAGATTAGGACAAGCCAGCGGGGTGTCAGGTAGGGGGTGAAGACACAGAGGCCACTGAGGCTGAGGCCAGGGGCAGAGAGACCAGAGGGTGGGGATGTTCCCAGGGGAAACGCCAGTCTTTGCCAGCTGAGGACACAGTGTTCTTCATCCCCTCAGGCCACCATTCCCTGCATCTCGAGTAGACTAACCACTGTCTCCGAGGTCTGACTTCAGCTCCCCTG